GAGGAAATGGCATCAGCTTGCTCTCTTGTCCCTGGAGAGGGGAGTTCATGCCTACCCCTGTTCAGGAAGCTGTCACAGAAGAGCAAACAATCTCCCCTCCTGTGTTCCAGGCTTCTGTCAGATCCTTGCCTTCACCCTGTCTGTGTCTGAGCCATCTGCCCACCTGGTGGTACAGTGCTCCTGTTTTATCTCAGGCACACCGGCTGGGTTTCAAAACTCCACAAATTTTAGGGACCTGGCATGGACCCACGCTAGTCCTCTGTGGGAGGGTCTTGCTGTGCTGTGGCTGGTGCCAGATTATCCCAGAAGGGCAGTTGCACAAATGCACAGGGGCTTGGAGTTTATGTAAAGCTCAGCAAAAAGTGGGGTTCAGTTAGCTGCCCACAGCAGCTGCCTCTGCTTGTATGCTAATGAACAGGGCAGCTCAATGGCACCTGTGGGAGAATCAGCCTATCCTTTGAATCCAAGCATTGACTTTTCCTCTCTAGCTATTAAAGTCCTAGATGACATATTCTTCCAGTATAAGGCTATCTTGTCTACAATGAAAATCTGTTGTTTAGTGTAACCACTTTCATTAAGTATTCTAGCTAGATCTTTTGGATACCTTGCAGGAGCTTCTACATCAGCACTTGCTACTTCATCTTGCTTGCACTTTTATGTTATGAAGATGGCTTCTTTCTTTAAACCTCATGAACCAACCTCTGCTTAGCTTCAATTTTTTCTTCTGCAGCTTCCTCACCTCCCCAGCCTTCACAGAATTGAAGAGTCAGGTCTTGCTCTGGACTAGACCTTACTTCGGCTTATGGGAATGTTGTAGCTGCTCTGATCTTCCATCCAGACCACTAAAACTTTCTCCGTATCAGCAATAAGGCTGTTTCATGTTCTTATCATTCATGTGTTCACTGGACTAGCACTTTTAATTTCCTTCAAGAACTTTTTCTTTGCATTCACAACATGGCTAACTATTTGTTGCAAGAAGTCTAGCTTTTGGCCTATCTCAGCTTTCAACGTGCCTTCTTCATTAAGCCTAATTAAGCCTAATTGTTTCTAAGTTTTGACTTAAAGTGAGATTCACTTGAACTAAACTTAAGAGCCCTTGTGGGGTTATTAATTGGACTAATTTCAATACTATTGTGTCTCAGGGAATATGGAGGCCCAAGGAGAGGGAGCGAGATGGGGGAACAGCCAGTTGGTGGTAGAGTCAAAATGTACACATTTATTAAGTTCATCATCTAATATGGGCATGGTTCATGGTGCCCCAAAGCAATTACAATAGTAACATCAAAGATTACTGGTCATAAACCAACATAACAAATATAAGGATAATGGCAAAGTTTAAGAACTTAATTCTTTACTTTTGATGTAATGGAAAAGTTTAAGATATTGCAAGAGTTGTCAAAATGTGAGAGACACAAGGTGAACAAATGTTATTAGAAAATGGTACAGATTTTGCTCAATGCGGGGTTGTTATAAGTCTTCAATTTGTATAAAATGCAGTATCTGCAACATATAAAGCAAAGTGCAATAAAACTAGGTATGCCTACACAAACTTTAAGTTATAAAGTAAATAAGGTCTGAGGAGCTAATGTAATATGGTAACTATACCTGAAATTTGCTAAGAGAGTAGAACTTATATGTCTCACCAAAAAAAAAGTAAGTATGTGAGGGGAATCCTTTCCCTATGTATATGTCTATTAAATCATCACACTGTATACTTCAAATATCTTAAAATTTTGCCAATTATACCTCAATAAAGCTGAGGGGAAAAAAAAAACAGAAAAAATTAGGAACTATTGGAATTCTCCAAATATTAAAAAAGTCCGTTCCCAACTACTTTACCATACATAAATTGGTTTTCCAAAAAGTTCATCTCCATAGTTTTTTTTCCAGTGCAATAGCAACAACTCAATCAAAAGATATTTATGTAAAAATATTTGTTCTTGCAAACAGGTTAAAAGAGCAGCCCGCTAGTTGCCGCTGGGTAGAGAAAAGAAAAAATAGCTAATAAGCACTAAGTTCTCTACTGATACCTATCTGCCTTTCTAGGTTTCGTTCTCTAAATTCTAGTCAGGACTATAAGAAAAATGACCCCCTAATGCATATGATGAGACACCAGTAATAAAAACTGTGTAGAGGCCTAGTCCTTCATCTGAACCAACCTGAAACTTGAAAGAGAAAGAATATAAATGCAATACCACTTGTAGTATTACTTAAAATTATCTCCTTTTTCTTTTTTATAAACACATAAAACCTCAAAACCTTAAAGCCTCTATGAAAACATTTTACCCTAATTATTTTTGAGAATTAAAGGAATCACTTGAAGAAAAAAAATTTGGTTATGCAGATTATAATCAACACTGTCATTAACTTTGTTACTTGATGACTCTTTAATAGATGGAGAAATATAAAAAAAGTTTTAATCTACAATGAGAATTCTCAATTGTATACAAAAAAGAATTCAAGTACTTACCTTAAAAATGGCATTTTTTGCCTTATATGTAGCAAAATATGGTTGTTCCAAAAGCCACAATGATGTAAGAATGGCAGCTGTAGAGGTCTTTACATGAATGATGGGACTATATTCACAGGATAACTCAGTGAGACTAGGATCACAGAGCAGTCTTTTATTAGACCACCTTATCATCCATTCCAGCAGCCTTCTTATACTGCTAAATGTGTTGTTTAGTACTAGAGGAAGATCTTCTTGAGGGTTAACATCATTGCACTGAATTGCTTTAAAAATACATCTTCTAGTTTTGTTGGACTTGGGAGTCCAAAAAATATGGTTTGACAATCTCTGGATTACAGGTTTCTCTGAACTGTCATCTTGTAGTCTATAAACTGACTTTTGTTTTAAACCAAACAATCCACTTGTCCCTTCCTTTTTATCGACTTCATTCAAAGGATTCTCTAAAAATGGCCAGATTTCTTGAGTAACTGGTACTGAAGCTGAAAGTGCTTGGTTTTCTGACTTTTCAGACTCATATGACTCAGAAGCAACAAAGCAGGAGCCAGCTCTAAACACATTCTGGCTTTTGGTTTTGCCTTGACGTCGTTTTAATGTTGTATGTACATCAAAAAGTAAAGAATTAAGTTCGTGTTCTCTAAGATGTCCAGAAAAACTGGTTAGAAATGGAATGCCAGGATCCTTGGAATCAAGTAGGTCTCTTTCAAGAACGTAACTCAAGAAGAGATCAAGAAATTTAATATATTCATCATCATCACGTTCAAATTCCCAAACACCTATTATAGGAAGTGCATTCTGTAATAACTTTTCATGATCTTTTCTTTCAAGATTTTCTTTCTGATTACATATCTTCTTTTTTTCATTGGACTTATCAATCGATGTTAATTCCACATGATTTGGTGCATCTCTAGCAAAAAAAAATTGAAAAAGACAAAATTAAAGATTTAATCACTAAAACACATGTTAGAATTGACAACAAAAATTTTCTCCACTGATTGAATCATATATCTTTATATAATGCCTCAATGCCTTTCAAATGAGGGGGTTAGACTAAATGAACATTCTGATTAAAAAAATGTAACACATTAATACCAAAAGGGGGAAATTTGTGTTAAAAAAGACTGAAATGGGGACGCCTGGGTGGCTCAGTTAAGAGTCTGCCTTCGGCTCAGGTCATGATCCCAGGGTCCTGGGATCGAGCCCTGCATCATGCTCCTTGCTCAGCAGGGAAGCCTGCTTCTCCCTCTCCCTCTATCTGCTGCTCCCCCTGCTTGTGCTCACTCTCTCTGTCAAATAAATAAATAAAATCTTAAAAAAAAAAAGACAAATGTGTTTATAGAAATTTCACTTTTAAAAACATGAATTTTTGGGGCGCCTGGGTGGCTCAGTTGGTTAAGTGACTGCCTTCGGCCCAGGTCATGATCCTGGAGTCCCGGGATCGAGTCCCGCATCGGGCTCCCTGCTCAGCAGGGCGTCTGCTGCTCCCTCTGACCCTCCCCCCTCATGCTCTCTCTCTCTATCTCATTCTCTCTCAAATAAATAAATAAAATCTTTAAGAAAATAAAAATAAAAATAAAAACACGAATTTTCTGGAAAAAAAAGGTCCACTAATAGGTCAGAATTTAGGAATATAAAGTCAATAAAAATCATAAGCCACCAATATACATCTTAATTTATGGTTTCTTGTTTTTTGCATCTGCCCCTTTCAGCCTTCCCCGTACAATGTGCAACAAGCAGGACTGCCCTCAAGACTGTACTACACAAAAGTTGGGAATTTTTTCTAAACTTTCTGCTGCTACTAAACCTGTTAGGCAAACCCTTTAACTGCCAATCATAATTACTTTTTAAATCTGTTTCCTTTCAACATGATCCTTAGGGAAGAACAGATTCCTAGTTCCCTCAGTAAAAGAAATAAAGAGTTCGTGTTAAGGCACCTGGACTGAAGGCGTCATGTCTCTTCTTATTAAGAAGGCACAGTAAGCAGCCTCCAGTGTATTCCACCAAAATTGCTTGGTGAAACAAGCACACCATTTATAATACTATTAGGTATGATTTAAGCAGACATTTATGTTTGAAGTAGATAAAATTATTTCATTTAAACAAGATTATGGTTGATTATATAGTCTTTCAGTCATGAAAAGGATAAACTACATAGCAGATAATGGAATTATAAAGAAAAAAATTTACCTAGAGTAACAGAAGTTTAAATGGTAAAAATTTCTAGACAATTTATAGACAAGTTTCAAAGATGAATGTGCAATTTCCTTTCCCTGGAAACCCTTAAAAATAATATTGCTGGGCGCCTGGGTGGCTCAGTTGGTTAAGCGACTGCCTTCGGCTCAGGTCATGATCCCAGGGTCCTGGGATCGAGTCCCGCATCGGGCTCCCT